AAGCGAAGACCTAGGTCAAATCCGTACACAATCACAAAGCTTATCAGGGGACCTTGGCCTAGTCCCCCTGCTTGGCCTAGCCTACCTTCCAGGACTGTTGCCAGGATAAAAATGGAGACGGGGAGAAACATGTGTGCCACATTGATTTCTTTGGAGGAAAGGTGAAATAAAGATATAATAGCGTGGACTGCCGCAGGAAGTGGTGGCGGCTATCAGCATGGACAGCTTTCAAGGGGGGGGTAATTGGATAAACATATGGAGCAGAGGTCCGCCAGTGGCTTTTAGCCACAAGGCGTAGATGGAACACTCAGACCGATTTCCCACAGCCGCTGCTCTGCGCTCGCTCCTCTCTTTGCCCCGATGGTACGTATCAATTTCCCACTCGAAGCCGCGTAGCCGCATTTTGACCCGCGGCTTTGCCCAATTCCCCCCGCGGTTTCATGATCCTGTTTTTTGAGGATGACGAAACCGCGGGCAAGCACAGAGCAGTGGCTGTGGGAAATCGGCCTCTGTCTGGGGCAGTGATGCTCTGTATTCTTGGTGCTTGGGGGGCAAAAGTGGGAGGGCTTCTGGAGTTCTGACCCAGCTGGTGGACCTCCTGATGCCACCTGGGTTTTGGCTGCTGTGTGACACAGAGTGTTGGACTGGATGGACCATCAGCCTGATCCAACATGGCCTCTCTTATGTTCTTATGACTCCTAGAAAAGCAGAAATGGCCAGATTCCAACAGCGACACTCATTCTTGACATTATTGAGGGAATAAGCTAAGCACCTGATCCCCGATGGTGACCTGAGATGAGAAAACATTGTCTCCAAGGTCAGTTTCCATTGTGTCGGTCAATATTAACCGCTGATAAGGGGGAAAGAAAGCAGGGACAACCCTATGCAGACAGGACTGTCAGATAAAGCCAAAGTGATTAGTCCTCAGCCTCATGACTCTGTTCCTCTTGATTTATCCTAGTCTGTTACCCCCCCGGGGGGGGTAAGATTGAAAGAAGCCTGCCAAATGAGGAGAGAAAGCATTTCCACCACATCCAGATATACCCAAGTCAAATGAATATTTGATTTTGTAGCTTTGGGGGTATTGCTGGACCTGGGCCTCCTGCTGGATAAACAGGTGGCAGTGGTGGCTGGGGTACCTTTCACTTGCTACTGCTGTGCATGCCCTAGTAATATCTAGTTTAGATTGCTACAATGCACTCTACATGGGGTTGCCCTTGAAGACTGTCCATAAGCTAAAGCTGGTACAGAACGTTGCCGCCAGAGTGTTGACTGGAATGGATTCTAGAGATCACATCACTCCTGTATTGTTCCATCTACATGGCTTCCAATTCACTTCTAGGCTCAACTCAAGATGCTGCGATTGACCTTGAAAGCCCAGTACAACCTGGGACCAACATATCTTTAAGTACCGCCTTATTCCTATATGAACTCCCTGCTTTGGGTGCTCCTGCCATAACATGAGAGTGTGCACAGGTCAAAATACAGCCCAGTGCAGAATATGAGGGTTCTTCCACATCCTCATTTTTGTCACTTGTGCGTTCCTATCACTTCGGGTATTTTAAAAGTGCATGGAAATACACTGGACATACAGCGATGTAATATTGAATAGACCACCAGAGGGAGCAAAACATGAGCAGGAACCCCAAGAGGCAATAGAGATGCACAAGTGACGCAAATGAGAATGTGGAAGAGCCCTGATTCAGCCCTTTGATTTCTGACTATTATACATCTGTCCAAGGAACTCTCAACATCCTGGCTCAACAAAAGACAACTAAGACAAGATGGCAGCCCTAATGCAGAGAGGATGAGGCAGGGAAAGGGATTATCTGCCATCCCCCGAGCAACAGAAAAACATGCAACCTTGATTTACATTTACTGATGCTTGGCTATTACTAATGTATTCAGCTGCAGGAATCAAGCCTCAGACTGACTTTGATTACTGTGCCATTTGGCCAGGCCTAAGAAAAAGTATTCTGTAGACAGTGCTCTGGGTTTTCGGATTTCTGTTTTGTACTAGCATCACTGACAACTTACTACCAATTTCCTACTATCTATACACACTGCTTAAAGACAGAAAAGAAAGGGGGGGAGAGAAGCTTAACTCAAAAGAATCGAATCAAGAACCAAAAAGGTTAGTTATGAGCCAATATAGGGCCAATTACTAAAATATGTATAACCTATATGTATATGTATAACCTATAACCAATATAGGGCCAATTACTAAAATATGTATAACCTAAACCAAAAACAATATGTATAGCCCTTTTGTATAGATTGTATACCAGCTGCAATAGTTCCCTTTTGTATACATTGCATTTGTATTTTTGCTGTAATGAGGCTACAGGTGGGCCCATAAATTGTTTTTAACCATTTGAAAAATAAATACACTTGAAAAATAAATACATAAATTAGGTTTCACATATAGTTTTTAGTCCTATATTGTTTCATAGCACTGCTAAAAGACTCCATGGAAAGTTGAAGATGGGCCACTAGAGGGAAGCAGATGCAGAAATTATTTCAGGTTTTGTTGTGTATGGAGTTTTATAGGGTAATCTGAGAGGGGAGGCTATGGCCCAAGGAGTTTACAATTAAAATGAAAATTGCCAAACCTCCAGAACCCCGGCCTTTTGAATGAAATATAACTGCACGGGCTTGTAAAGACCTGTAACCCTTAATAGAGAGCTGTTCTAGATCATGACTCCAAGTTTCCTGAAGAAAAATTATATGATAACCTTGCAGGAAATCTAAAAAATCAGGGTCGTGAAGCTTATTTCGCCCCCCCCCCCAAGATTCCAAGACAGAAACTTTAGTTGTCAGACTTCATGTTCTATCTTATTTAGATTATCCTCAGGGTCTAAGAATATACAGCCATTAGTAGGTGGCCCACCAGTTACCCTTTGTCCACCTGTTGGCATACTAGGAGTCCGGGAGAGTGTGGCTTGCAAAATGCCACTGAAAGAGTTTGCAGCTGTGCTGACATCTGAATCAGGGACCTCTCAATGCTCCCTGGATTGGCAGGCAGGTGTGCTTTGTTTTGATTGGGGGGCAAGAACAAACATGTGACACATGAAGCTGCCTTATACTGAATCAGACCAGGGGTCCATCAGGATCAGTATTGTCTTTGTCTACATAGATGAGCTCTCCAGGGTCTCAGGTGGAGGTCTTTTACATCACCTCTGATTTGACCCTTTTAACTGGCGATGCTAGGGATTGAACCTGGGACCTTCTGCACGTCAAGCAGATGCTCTACCACTGAGCCACGTCCCTCCCTCCTCAAAGCAGTGGGGGGAAAGCAAAGGCTTCCTGGGAAAGGTGGGGTTTTTTTTAATTTAAATTTTTATTGAAGTATTGAAACATTTAACAAACAAGAAAAATATGAAATATAACTTCACTTTCTTTTTTTGTAAAAGTGCCGTTTTGAAGGATACATCTGTACAGTAAAGCAAATATATACCAAAACAACAATAAGCATAAGTATAAGTCGCCATCCGGATATACCAAACTCAATAGCTATTCACAAAATTGGACCTGTATGGGCCATTCCGGGGAAAAGACTGTGGAGGGTTAACATCTTGCCTATCAGAGAACACAAACGATCATCTATCCGTTTTGTAATTACCAACTACAATTTCAATGAGTCCAACCATGAAAATAATCTGTTTCTTACATTTGTTAAAAATCTGTCATCAGAACCATTTCATATATTCAGACCAGGATGAGGGAATATGTCCCTCATTTTCTAAGAATGTTAAGATCGGAAACCACTTTGCACTGAAATCTACATTGCAATGAATAGCCGTTATTTTGTTAAGTCTGTCTGTTATGCTTTCCATTACATACTGATCCCACATCTTTTGGAACCATAACTGGATAGTTATGGTTCGGATCTTTCCATTTAGAAGCTATTGCAATTCTGGCAGGTGGGTTTTGAGGAGGGGGATGCAGGGAGTTTCTGAACGCTCTGGTTTGCATACGGAGGGTCTAAAGTTCAGTCCTGTTCAGCTGCCCCTTGAAAAGACCTTGCATAAAGAAGGCCTCTGGCTGCCATCTTGGAGCACTGCAGACCATCAAATGAAACTAGATGCCAGACCAAGTGGAGCAGTAGGGATGCCATTCCCCAGTTGGGGGCTGGGAATCTCCTGGTTTTTCAGGCTCATGTCCGCCGCCAGCCAGTTGGCTGGTGTGGGGAAATCCTGCCCCGACACGATGTGTTGACATCACATAGTAGTGACATCATCACATCGGTGATGTCACATGGTGACACTCTGGTTTTGGGGCAAAACTCTATGGTACCATCCGCCTCAAACCATAGAGTTTTGCCCCCAAACCAGAGTGTCACCGCACGACATCGCTGACGTGATGACGTCACTTCTCTGTGTGACATCAGCATGTCACGGTGCTCTGCCCCCACTCCCAGAAGGTCCCTCCCCCTTTCCTGTGATCATTGGACCAGTCATCCTGTACAGATAAAAAGCAGCTTCATATTGCTATAGTTATTCAAGTCCCCAGGGGTTATTTCGTAGAAAAAGAGGTGCAGGAGCTTATCAGCATAACTTATTTGCATCTGCCACACCCCCTGATATCACCGGAAGTGTGTCAGAAGGCAACACCCACTGCTCAGGCTCCATTGGACTGTTTTGGATTGCTGGGTATGGGGGGGGGGCTCTGCAACTTACCTATCTGCTTCTTGCTCCACGTGGCTCAGGGCTTCTGGGAGGAGGGGGTGGGGTTTGTTGCATGTACCTGCCCCCTGGGCTCTTTACTGCCAGAGCTCCGCTCTTGTGCGCTCCTGCAGGAAATGACTCCTGCAAGTCCCCCTTCTCTGAGCAATGAGAAGCTTTGGGGTCATGCTTACTGAATCCATTCCCTTTGGAGGAGAAAGGGGGACCTTGACCGAAGTGGTGTTGGGGAGGGGCCTGAATGTTCTGCTGACTGAAAACTCTTTAAAAAAAAATCTTTTTCGCAAAATAACATGGAATAATACCAACTCTCAGGTCTGGTGTATATAAGAAGACTTTATTATATAAAGCTGCAAAGGGAGACTGTTCAGTTCTCAGAATGACAGACACGTTTCATTCCCACAAGAGTTATTTTTGAGTAAATGACTTATAAAAACTGCAGAAATGCATCATCTTGGAAGAGGCTTTCCACTTCCTCACTCAGACATCGGGATGCCAACCTCCAGGTGGGGGCTGGAGTTACCCTGGAATTACACCGGATCTCCAGGTTACAGAGGCCAGTTCCCCTGGAGGGAAAAGGAGGATCCGGAAGGGTGGGTTCTATGACATCACATTCCTGCCGAACTCTATCCCGTACCCAAACCCCAGCTATGCCAGGCTCCGCCCCCAAATTTCTAGGGATTCCCCAACCTGGAGTCGGGAACCCAACCAATGCGAGAAGGAATGCCTCTTTTAAAACACATCTATACAACTTGCATGTGGATCCTCTTGAAACTAATCACAGATGCACCCAAGGAGATGGGATATTAGTAGCACGGGGTTGTCGCTCCATTGCCACAAAATGGGGTAGGATTTGGTTTTATCCTCAGCTCTCCACTTTATCAGTGCTTAACAGAATGAGGAGGGAGATCAAACTGGGCCCTCTGCCTTGGGAAATTCCGTCTCCCTCGCCTCCCATTTCCTGAGGTGTAAAAAATGTGTGCTAGCTAGAAATTGGCTGCACCAGCAAAGATAACAACGCTATGAATTCTATTGGCTTCATATCACTTTAAATGTCATACTTTCATCTGAAGGATCATGGGAACTGTAGTTTGGAGGTGGTGCTAAGGATTAAGGACCCTTCATCCTTTCCCTCACAGAGCTACAGTTCCCAGGGAACAGAGAATGGCTGTTACTGACACTCCTTTAAAGGAGGAGGAGGAGGAGATTGGATTTATACCCCACCCTTCACTCCCCAAAGGAGTCTCAGAGTGGCTTACCATCCCTTTCCCTTTCCCTTCCCCTCCCCACAACAGACACCCTTTGAGGTAGGTGGGCCTGAGAGAGCTCTTTCGAGGACTGCTCCTGAGAGAACAGCTCTGAACGAAGTTGTAACTGATCCAAGGTCACACCTGTCTTGTAGGCAAACTTTTAGGCAACCGAACGATAAACGGAAGTAGGACGGGGTCATTTTATAATGCTTGATGCAAAGCGTCAGGGCAAATCATCAAAATATCAGCTTACTGAGGAAAAGGGGGAGGGGCAGCAGCAGAAGACAGGATAGTAGATCTACAGCAACAGCAAATCCTAACTGAGATATAAAAAAATGTACTAATTTGCAGTGGACTCTCTAACCTTTCCAGGGTCTAACATGGCTGAGTGTCACCTACAATGGGCTGCACAGGTCAGCACCACGGACCCTCTCTCCGATGCTCGGCAACCTAAAGGGCAGCTTTGAAGTGAACCGGCACGCCATTGACACAGGCCACTCGGACGTGCTGGGAGCTGAGTCTGCCTCTGTAGCTGCAGGGGGGCCTCTGGGAGCCCCCAGAGATCCGGCAGGAGGTGACCTCAAAGCTGACGTTGCTGTCGTAGTAATTCTCACTGGAGTGGGTGCCTCCGTGGGTGCAGATGGCGTCCACATCCTCGGGGCTCCCATGGATGAAGGTGTTGGAGGGCTTGCAGGCATTCGTGGTCATCTTTCTGCTCTGCATCATGAGGTTGCAATAGCGCCGGGGCTCCAGCTCAGGGCTGGTCTTCGGGTAGTTGACGTGCTGCCGCTGGAACTTCTGGTGACGGGTTTCCCTCTGGGTGGAGGCTGGCCAGGGTCCCAGCAAGACCATCAGGAGAAGTAGCATTGACCAGACTGGCATTGGCGCCATGGTGTCCCCCTAGGGGAGGGAGGAGTTAAAAAACTGTTTATAAAGTACCCTGTTTCCCCGAAAATAAGACCTACCCAAAAAATAAGCCCTAGCAGGATTTCTATGCATTTGTGGTATAAACCCTACCCCGATAATAAGACCTAGTGATGAGAGTTATGACGATGTTCCAGAAGAAGATGACTTAACTGTATTTGAAAATATGTAGATTGTTGTATTATACTTAATAAACATAAGACATCCCCTGAAAATAAGCCCTAGTGTGTCTTCTTGAGAAAAAATAAATATAAGACAGTGTCTTATTTTCGGGGAAACACGGTAACTACCCCACCCAAAAACATGTGGAGGCCTAGGCATATGAGAGGCTAGAAGCTGATGTTCCTGACTATAAGCCACATGAAGCCTTTCTAAGTCAATTGGCTGTGCTGGTAAGACTCACGAACATTTGTGAACCATTTGTGGAGAAGGAAATGGTGATCACGGAATGCTGCCTAACAGTACAACTCCTGTGAGGGAAGCAAGAGGTCCCTTTGGCAGAGCAGAAATACAGGACTGCGAGCTGTTTTCAAGAAGGAATGGAGGAAAATGTTTTGCTGGGTGACTCAGAGCTTGAAAGTGACTGCCAAGAGGATGAAAATTGGGGGGGGGGGCCCCACGATGAAAGAAAATGTTTTATAATCACCGGTATTTCCTTCTTAGTCTTGGTATACAGAAGGCGCATGACCCAGATAGACCTGGATCTGTGGGATCAGGTATGATATTTCATTAACCTGACATTGGATATATATATATATGCAGGGGTCATTTTGTAGAAAAAGAGGTGCAGGAGCTCATTCGCATAACTCATTAGCATAATTTATTTGAATATGCCACACCCCCTGACATCACTGGAAGTGTGTCAGAAGGCAACACCCACCGCTCAGGCTCCACTGGACTGTTTTGGATTGCTAGCTATTGGGGGGGGGGGGACGTGCAGATCTGTCCTCGCAGAGGAGGGAGAGCTTGTACCTGAATAAGACCTGGTCTTAAAGGTGCCACTGGACCGTTTTGGACCGGGGGGGGGCTCTGCAACTTACCGGGCTGCTTCTTGCTCTGACTGAGGGCTGCTGGGAGCAGGGGGCGGGGCTTGTTGCATGTGCCCGCCCCCTGGGCTCTTTCCTGCCGGAGCTCCGCTCCTGTGCACTCCTGCAGGAAATGACCCCTGTATATATGGACTGTTTTCTCATCTGCTGTCATAGCTGACAGAGAGCGGCAGAATGCCCGAGTGAGCTACAATGCTCAAGCAGAAGCAGGGCGGCCTGGGAGAGGGGCGTGGGGAGGGAAGGCTGCAGGCTGAGATCCAGGGACCAGCATGAAAGGACGGGTGGAAGAAGCAAGAGTCTGTGGGGAATGAGGGCTGGAGGGGGGAGAGGAGCATGCGGAAGACAGTGAGGAGCGAGGGCATCTACACTCTTCTGCTCCAGGCAGACTGCTTCTCGGCCCCCGCTCCCTGTTGACAGCCTGGACCCGATGCATTCATGCACAACATTTTAAACCCTCCCTTCCTGCAAGGAGTTCTGGACAGCGTACATGGCTCTCACTCCCTCCATTTCAACCTCACAGGAGCCCTGCAGGGTAGGCTAGACTGAGGGAATGGGACTGGCCCAAGGTCACCCAGCAAATTAGAGTGGGGAACTTGACGTTCAACCTGCCAGATGATCCCACCCTCACTCTTAAACCACGACCCACGGACACCCCACTGGTCTTCCACCCCCTGTCTCTGAAATGGGAATCTGGTGACACATCCACCGGCCTTGTGTTCAGTTTCCCTTTGGCCGGATTTCCCCCCAGTCATTCATCTCACCCCCCAGTGGCTCACCTGAACCTTTGGGTCCGGCCCCTGAACAGCTTCCCACTTGCTTGCCAAAGCAAACTATTTCTCTCTCCGGTGGCTGTTCCTCCTCCTCTGTTTTGGGCACACTGTGAAATAGAGAGAAGAAATCGAGTTCTGGGAAAACCCAACGTATTTTGCAATTTTGGACCTCCTGGGACGATGGGAGGCTCCACTGCAAAAAAAGGGGGGGGGGAGGAAGAAAGTGTTATAAACAAGCAAGAATTTGCTGGCTCAGAGGACCTCAGCACTAAGATAACCTGGATTGACTTTTAAAAACATCTCTCTCTTTGGCAGTACTGGCATAGGTAAAACTGCTCCAGCTTTGGACTGAAATTTGGCTGGGCGCCGGCCTTCCTGTTGGTGGAATGGGCCTGGCCCCAAACAATCCTTTGCAGAGAGAGAACGAAAAAAAGAAGTTAACAAGACTTTTGCTCTGCATTTCCAAACAGAACATCTGGAACTGCTGGCGCTGGGAAAACAGCATCAGCCACTTACTTAAATTACACTGTCCTTGTCCGCCAGCCAAGTTAGGAGAGATGAGGGGAGAGTGGAGAGCTCATTGCCGCTTTTTAGAAAAACAAGCAATTGTGTGAACAAACTTTACAGCATTCCTGAGCGAAGCCAAACACAAACTGGCAGGCACCTCCCTCTGAGCAACTGAAGGCTGTTCTCCCAGCAGAATAAGAAACCTCCGCCTTTGGAACGAGAAGTCTCATGACCTCAGCCTGTGGCGGGTTCCGTTTCACCTTCCCTGTAGTTTCTGAAGCAATGTCTGCACTTGCGCAAGTGCAAACGAATGTCTGCACCACTGTTCCCTCTAAGCAGAGTGAGTGTGAGCTAGCTCACAGTTTTTTAGCCTCCAGCTCACAGATTTCTGTCTTCGCTCAGGAAGGAGGGCTCCAGAGCAAACTAATGTCTGCGGCAGCCAAATCCCTTGCTCACAGCTTTAATGGCAGGAGCTCACAAAGCAGAATTTTTGCTCACAAGACTCCACACCTTAGAGGGAGCGTTGGCCTGTGAGCTATGCACAATGGACCCTCATTTGAGCTTCACTTATTGATAAGAGGAGCTGCGGTGGCTCAAGTGGTTAAGACGCAGAACTGCAGGCTGTGGAAGGTCGGTAGTTCAGCAGTTCGAGACCCGGGTGCCGCATGAGGGAGTGAGCTCCCGTCTCTAGTTCCAGCTCCTGCCAACCTAGCAGTTCGAAAGCAAGAAATTGCAAGTAGATAAATAGGGACCACTTCGGTGGGAAGGTAACAGCGTTCCGTGTGCCTTGGTGTTTAGTCATGCCGGCCACATGACCACGGAAACGTCTTCGGACAGCGCTGGCTCTTCGGCTTTGAAACAGAGATGAGCACCGCAACCCTAGAGTCGGACTCGACTCGCTTTCGATTAAGGGAAACCTTTACCTTTACTATTGATA